GACGAGATGGTGGCGGTGATGGCATGTTGGAAAAAAGGTATTTTCCTACCTCAAAGATGTATGATCTGTCATCGAAAAGATCCCGTGAGAGTTTGTGTCCCCGGATCTGTTGTCTCTCTTCATATCTTGGCAGTTGATGTGTCCTCCGAGGAGAGCAATTTGACAAACCATTGACGCGATGACTTCGACATTTTTTTCTGTATCCTTTTGCGGCATGGTTCGATTTTTTCAACCGTTTTGACCAATGATGATGGATTGCAAGCTTGTTTTGCATGCGGTGACGCTTCAACCGATGCTTCTTCGGTGACTTCTAAATCTCGTCCCAAGGGGGTGAGTGGCTATTGTTGTTTGTAAAGCATGATATGACGAAAGCGTTTGCAGGCGTCCTTTTTTATATAATTGGGTGTAATTTTTTCAACCTGCGATGGGTGGCATATAATCGAAAGAAGAAGAGAAAGGCTAGTACGTTTTACAATGTAATTTTATTTTGTATTCGTCGGTTTGTGTCCAATTGTCATTCATATATTGATTATTGTTTTTTTAATAAATATTAGATGTAAGATGCCTTTTAGCTTTGAAAAATAAAAATCTGACAACTTTGAAGATCACGACCGCTTAATCCCAATGTGATGATTATGAAATAATGAAAATGGAAGAAACCAGGACAGATTTTGAATAAGATTGTGTTCACATATATTCCATCCATCTGGAATGTAAAGTGTATTTTGTTTTGGCTAACAAGTTCCCCTTCCCATATAAAAAAAACTTGATTACGCCAAGCTGAGACAAAAAAAATTGTGTCAACGGTTCGTAAACGCGAAAAAAATTAGGGGACACATATAATCAGCCCAAACTCCCTTCTAGAGGAAAAAAAAACCTTCCCCTAAATTTGGCGGGAGGCAACCGTTGAAGTTTCATGTTGCCTCCACACCAGCCGCCCCATCGCGCCACCTCGCCCCGTTATGCTGCCCGGTCGCCTCGGCCCATCGCTGCCTCTCCACGCAGGGTCGGCCGCCTCGCACCCTCCTCTCCAAGCCACGCGCCCCGAACTCACCAAACCACCCCTGTGACGCCCCCGATTCAATCGTAAACTAATCGTACACGTAAACGTGTATGATCAAAAGCAGGGACTCACGGGAAGATATCACAACACAACTCTAAACACAATTTAAAGTCATACAAACATTATATTACAAGCCAGGGGCCTCGAGGCTCGAATACAAGTGTTCGATCACAGGCGATTCAGCGAAAGCAATAATATCTGAGTATAGACATAAGTTAAACAAGGTGCCATAATATGGCTAGCACAAACTGGGATACAGATCGAAGAGGCGCAGGCCTCCTGCCTGGGATCCTCCTGTTGGGGAACGCAGTAATTTCAAAAAACATTCCTACGCACACGCAAGATCGTGGTGATGCATAGCAACGAGAGGGGAGAGTGTTGTCTACGTACCCTCGCAGACCGTAAGAGGAAGCGTTATGACAACGCGGTTGATATAGTCGTACGTCTTCACGATCGACCGATCCTAGTACCGAAAGTATGGCACCTCCGGGATCTGCACACGTTCGGCTCGGTGACGTCCCACGAACTCATGATCCAGCAGAGTGTCGAGGGAGAGCTTCGTCAACACGACAACGTGATGACGGTGATGATGATGCTACCGGAACAGGGCTTCGCCTAAGCACCGCTACGATGTGACCGAGGTGGATTATGGTGGAGGGGGGCACCACACACAGGTAAGAGATCAATGATCAACTTGTGTGTCTATGGGGTGCCCCCTCCCCTGTATATAAAGGAGTGGAGGAGGGGGAGGGCCGGCCCTCTATGGCGCGCCCTGGAGGAGTCCTACTCCCTCCGGGAGTAGGATTCCCCCCTTCCCTAGTTGGACTAGGAGAGAAGGAAGGGGAGAGAGGGAGGAAGGAAAGGGGGGCGCCGCCCCCCTTCCTAGTCCAATTCGGACCAGAGGGGGAGGGGCGCGTGGCCTGCCCTAGCTGCCTCTCTCTCTCTCTCCACTAAAGCCCATTAGGGCCCATATACTCCCCGAGGGGTTCCGGTAACCCCCCAGTACTCTGGTATATGCCCGAACTCACTCGAAACCTTTCCGATTTCCAAACATAGGCTTCCAATATATCAATATTTATGTCTCGACCATTTCGAGACTCCTCGTCATGCCCATGATCACATCCGGGACTCGGAACAACCTTCGGTTCATCAAAACACACAAACTCGTAATACCGATCGTCACCGAACGTTAAGCGTGCGGACCCTACGGGTTCAAGAACTATGTAGACATGACCGAGACTCGTCTCCGGTCAATAACCAATAGAGGAACCTGGATGCTCATATTAGCTCCTACATATTCTACGAAGATCTTTATCGGTCAAACCGCATAACAACATACGTTGTTCCCTTTGTCACCGGTATGTTACTTGCCCGAGATTCGATCATCGTATCTCAATACCTAGTTCAATATCGTTACCGGTAAGTCTCTTTACTCGTTCCGTAATACATTATCCCGTAACTAACTCATTAGTTGCATTGCTTGCAAGGCTTAAAGTGATGTGCATTACCGAGAGGGCCCAGAGATACCTCTCCGATAATTGGAGTGACAAATCCTAATCTTGATCTATGCCAACTCAACAAGTACCATTGGAGACACCTGTAGAGCACCTTTATAATCACCCAGTTACGTTGTGACGTTTGGTAGCACACAAAGTGTTCCTCCAGTATTCGGGAGTTGCATAATCTCATAGTCATAGGAACATGTATAAGTCATGAAGAAAGCAATAGCAATATAATAAACGATCGAATGCTAAGCTAACAGAATGGGTCAAGTCAATCACATCATTATCTAATGATGTGATCCCGTTAATCAAATGACAACTCATGTCTATGGCTAGGAAACTTAACCATCTTTGATTCAACGAGATAGTCAAGTAGAGGCATAGTAGTGACACTCTGTTTGTCTATGTATTCACACATGTACTAAGTTTCCGGTTAATACAATTCTAGCATGAATAATAAACATTTATCATGATATAAGGAAATATAAATAACAACTTTATTATTGCCTCTAGGGCATATTTCCTTCACCTCCTAACTACTCCTAGTCGCCGGCGGCCTGCACGTAGAAGAAGGCACCCTCGTTGTAGTAGGGGTCGTCGCCGACGGCGGCGTCTGGCTCCTGGGCTCCAACATCTGGTTGCGGCATCCGAGAAGAAAGGAAAAAGGGGGAAAGGGGGAGCAAAGCAACCATGAGTACTCATCCAAAGTACTCGCAAGCAAGGATCTACACTACATATGCATTGGTATCAATGAAAAGGATAGTATTTGTGGACTAAACTATAGAATGCTAGAATAAGAGGGGGATAGCTAGTCCTATCGAAGACTATGCTTCTGGCAGCCTCCATCTTGAAGCATGTAGAAGAGAGTAGCAAGTGCAGCATCAAGTAACAATGCATAGCATAATCCTACCCGGAGATCCTCTCCTTGTCGCCCTGTGAGAGAGCGATCACCGGGTTGTATCTGGCACTTGAAAGGGTGTGCTTTATTAAGTATCCAGTTCTAGTCGTCATAAGGTCGGAAGACAACTCTGGGTCATCCTTTTACCGAGGGACACAACTATTTGGATAGATAAACTTCCCTGCAGGGGTGCACCTGAAGGAAATATGCCCTAGAGGCAATAATAAAGTTGTTATTTATATTTCCTTATATCATGATAAATGTTTATTATTCATGCTAGAATTGTATTAACCGGAAACTTAGTACATGTGTGAATATATAGACAAACAGAGTGTCACTAGTATGCCTCTACTTGACTAGCTCATTGAATCAAAGATGGTTAAGTTTCCTAGCCATAGACATGAGTTGTCATTTGATTAACGGAATCACATCATTAGAGAATGATGTGATTGACTTGAGCCATTCCGTTATCTTAGAATTCAATCGTTTAGTATATTGCTATTGCTTTCTTCATGACTTATACATGTTCCTATGACTATGAGATTATGCAACTCCCGAATACCGGAGGAACACTTTGTGTGCTACCAAACATCACAACGTAACTGGGTGATTGTAAAGGTGCTCTACAGGTGTCTCCAATGGTACTTGTTGAGTTGGCATAGATCAAGATTACGATTTGTCACTCCGATTGTCGGAGAGGTATCTCTGGGCCCTCTCGGTAATGCACATCACTTTAAGCCTTGCTAGCAATGCAACTAATGAGTTAGTTGTGGGATGATGTATTACAGAACGAGTAAAGAGACTTACCGGCAACGAGATTGAACTAGGTATTGAGATACGATGATCGAATCTCGGGCAAGTAACATACCGATGACAAAGGGAACAACATATGTTGTTATGCGGTTTGAC